ACTGTGGGTAAAGATGGGTAGATAACATGCCTATAGGGTTCATTTTGGTTCAAATGTGTTTTGTTAGATAACATGCTTATAGGGTTCATTTGGTTCAAGTGTGTTTTGTTAGATAACATGCCTATAGGTTTTATTTGGTTCAAGTGTATTTTGTTAGACAATATGCTTATAGGGTTTGACTTTGGTCAAATAAATTCTGCCTGCTTCACTTTATATATAATTAGACATCATGCCTATAGGATTTAAAATCAGCTTTGAGCATAGAAATCATGCCTATAGGATCTAAAATCAGCCATAACTAGACATCATGCCTATAGGATCTAAAAATCAGTTTAATCATAAATCGTGCATATAGGTTCTGAATCAGTTAATCAATTATCTTACTCGTTTCTTTAATACTCCTCAGCTCTGTGTTAATTAATATCACTAGAAAGCATGCCTATAAGATAAAGAACTTCAAAATGCTTCCCAGGATTGTGATTGCATATACACAATTAGGCAAACCTTAGGGCGTTAAATAATTTTGAAACCAGTTCTGTTTATATGTAAGATTATCCAGGTTTAACAAGCTGTAAAACCAGTAGGCAAACTGGTTAGGATCCTGCCACTTTCCTAGAAAATAAAACGTTGCATGTTCTGTTTTGTGTTGTTCATCTAGACATCATGTTCTTAGGATTTCTGAACTTCCTTTGAAAACCTGTGTTTTAGACGTGCTGTTTGATTGCCTATATACATGCGGAGGTAAATGTGAGCCTTCTAACTGCCTGTCTTTATTTGCTCGTCCTATATGTTATTTGCCTGTCGCCTAGATTTTTACCTTTTACAAACCTTAGGCTGTCTAGAACTGTCCAGATTTAAGTTTCCCAAATTCCTCCAGGGCCATAAGGAAGGGACGGGTAGCAGCACTCTTAGAGGTCGTTAATTAAACTCGCTCATATAACCACTAAGGGGAGGGTAATGGGTAGTAAAAGGATATGATAACTGCGCGCTAATGTCACGTGTAGCCCTTCATTGAAGAGTGATTACCGGGTATTGCATGGGTATGATCCTGTAGGCTATCAACCTAGGACTTTCCTTTGCCAATTCCATATGTGTTTAAATTTTATAAACTTTCTTTTCTTTATATATACATGTGCAAGTTGTTTAAACCTCTCTCTTGCTCCTATTACCTGAATCGTACATGTACTTAGAATGTGAAAACATACCTTTATTTGCAAATATGTGTTGAAACTGTTTACTTGTTAAAAGGACTAATTCACATAGATTAAGTTCGGCTGGGACCACCGTTGTGGACCGCGAGGGGTGCCTAACACCTTCCCCTCAAGGTTATTTCGAGCCCTTACCCTAATCTTTAGTAATGCAAACTAGTCCATAAGTTTATCACTCTAGGTGCCCTAACGCACCATAATCCGTTAGGTGGCGACTCTTCAAATACCCAATTCCCAAAAGGAAATGAGTTGTTCCCCCATGAATGTCGAAACCCGAACTTCCCTGTCAAAAGGGGAAAAAAGGGGGCGCGACATCCTATATGTGTACTGACTACATACCCGCTTCGAAATGTCTTGCATAAGACTAAATTACCAAGCAGATTGGCTAAATGGGCCATCGAACTTGGAGGATATGATATCGAATATCAGCCTCAAACGACTATCAAGTCTCAAATTTTGGCAGACTTCGTGGCCGACTTCACGTCTGCCCTCGTACCCGAAGTAGAAAAAGAACTCTTGCTAAAAACGGGTACGTCATCGGGGTTTGGACCCTCTTCAGAGACGGTGCCTCAAATGTGAAAGGATCCAGGCTCGACATCATTTTGGAACCGCCTACGGGCAGTATTATTATAAAACTTCTAAACTGGATAACAATGAGGCTGAGTATGAGGCCATGATTGCAGGTCTTGAACTAGCCAAAGGCCTTGGAGCAGAGGTCATCGAAGCAAATTGTGATTCCCTTTTGGTGGTAAATCATGTAAACGGAAGCTTCGAGGTTCGAGACGAACGAATGCAAAGGTACTTAGACAAACATCAAATGAAATTGCATCGCTTCAAGGAATGGACATTGGACCATGTACCTCGAGAACAGAATAGCGAGGCCAATGAACTTGCAAACTTGGGGTCATCGGTTGAAGAAGACGATATCATCCCGGGGGCTTTCGTCCAGCTATCAAAGTCGATGGTCGAAGAAGGCCATGCATAGATTAATTCAACAAGTCTAACGTGGGACTGGAGGAGTAAGTACATCGACTACTTGAAGCATGGGAAGCTCCCCGCGGACCTAAAAGAGTTGAGAACACTTCGAACCAAAGGAGCTCGATTCTCTCTCGATGAAAATTGAATGTTGTATAGAAGAACCTTCGATGGACCACTGGCAGTATGCTTGGGACCCGGGGATACCGATTACATACTATGAGAAATTCACGAGGGTACTTGTGGCAACCATTCTGGTGTAGACTCTCTTGTTCGCAAGGTGATCAGAGCGGGGTATTATTGGGATAGCATGGAAAAGGATACCAAGGAGTTCGTCCAAAAGTGTGATAAATGCCAAAGATTTCCACTGATGATCCACCAGCCCGGCGAACAACTCCATACGATCGTATCCCCGTGGCCATTCATGAAATGGGTGATGGACATCGTCGTCCCCCTACCAACAGCGCCAGGCAATGCTCGATTTATTTTGTTTATGACTGACTACTTCTCAAAATAGGTGAAGCGCAAGACTTCGAGAAGATAAGAGAAAAGGAAGTCATCGACTTCATATGGGACCACATCATATGTCAGTTCGGGATACCCGCCGATATAGCCTGTGACAATGGAAAGCAGTTCATCGGCAGCAAAGTAACAAAATTCCTTGAGGACCATAAAATCAAAAGGATTCTATCAGCACCTTACCACCCAAGTGTAAATGGTCAAGTTGAGTCCACAAACAAAACCATCATTCGAAACTTAAAGAAAAGGTTGGATGATGCTAAAAGGAAATGGAGAGAAGTATTGCCCACGGTGTTATGGGCATATCAAACAACTTCGAAGTCTAGCACGGGGGATACCCCGTCTTATTTCGTATACGGATCCGAAGCATTGATCCCAATCGAAGTCAGGGGACCTAGCGTTAGGTTTTAGCATGCCACCGATGACTCAAATCACAAAGCTATGAACACTTCTCTCGAACTACTCGATGAAAAATGTAAGGCCGCTTTAATTCGAATGGCCGCGCAAAAACAAAGGATCGAAAGGTATTACAACAGAAGGACGAACCTACGATATTTTAGAGTCGGGGACTTAGTCCTAAGGAAAGTCACTCTCAACACTCGAGACCCAAACGAAGGGAAGCTTGGTCCCAATTGGGAAGGACCGTACCGTGTCCTCAGAGTCGTAGGGAAAGGATCCTACAAACTTAGCACAATGGAAGGCGAGCAACTACCAAACAATTGGAATGTATCGATGCTCAAGCGATATTACTGCTGAGGTATGACCTTCTCCCCTTTCCCATTTTGCATTTAACTAACTCATTGCGGACGTTCGATTTGAGATATCGAGGCATCTTTCAGCTCGAAGACCTTGGGTTTGAAAGCATGTGTTGTACTCTTTTTTCCTTAGATCGGGTTTTATGCCAAATGGGTTTTACCGGCATGGTTTTTAACGAGGAAACACCTATATGCTACCTAAGGAACATTCAACAAGTATTCAAGGCTTCTTTTCGATCAAACTCGAATACTGGGGGACATCACCCTCAGAGGCTATATTTGTTAGAAAGATATTTCACGCCTAAGAGGGCCTCGATAGGAGAACTTTGTAATGGACCAAACGATCAAATCAATCGTGTCCATATAGAATTGTCGAGCCCCGACGGCAAAACATGTACGCATGTATCAACTATTTAAAGAAGCATTCTAGTTATATCAAAAACACTGTGTATCTCATACGAGCTCTACACTTACAATTCTACGGGAAGCGGCTCAAGGGCCAAACCACCCCAAAATACCCGGGGACTATCACTGACAGTCAATACATCCGAGTCATAAAAAATTCAGAATCATAAGACCTCAAAGAGGCACCCCCTCAAAATAAAGTCCAAGGCCAATATACTCGGGGACTAACTTTTTGAACAAGTTCGGAAAGTTATTGGGGAACAAGTTCAAGTGACAAACCCGAAGGCTACAACCATACTAAAGACTATGGTCACATAAAGGCTACGACCAAAATAATGCATTCGGAGACGTCCGACTTCCGCTATAAAATTAAAGGCATTCAAACATTGAAAAACCGGTTAAGTCAGGCTACCCCCGACAAAAGCAAAATATAAGGGGCTTCGATAAATTAGGCCCCCGAAAAATCTAAGGGCTTCAATTAATTAGCCCTCGAATAATCCAAAGGCTTCGATAACACCAGCCTTCGGAAAACCCTTAAGAGGTATTCGATTATGTCTACACAAATAAAATGACGAATAAGGTTCTGATACGTCGAGTCTTCGAAAAACCCAACGGGTACAAAAAATATGCTAAGGCATAACTAAAATTTCACTAAGTCTTTTAGCCGAAATGAGAGGAAAATTATATTGCCATTTTAGAGGCCAAAACGGCCCAATTTAAAGAGCCTAAGGGCCAATTCTAAAAAAGAGACTAAGGGCCGATATACAAGAGCCTAAGGGCCAGCTTAAATGAGATATAGGGCCACAAGCTTATAAGAGTCCGAGACTCTGTTCTCATTCAACTCGGACCCAAAGACCCCATTACCCTGAGCTCACATTAATTTGATTTTAAGTTCGGCTCGGGGATCATCTCAAACCATAAGGGGTATGATCTTGAGCAATAAAAGCCTAAGGGCTTATTACGAGTCTAATCGATACTCGAGCTTAGTACATGAATCATCGGAATTTTTCATAAACAGGGACAAAATAAAAGTCAACACAAATCAAGGATAGAGCAAAAAGATACTTTATATATTCATTAGGGAAATTTACAAAACATATTACAACGCCCACAAGGGGCCCTTGCACAAAAAAGGAACCTAATCTATTTTCGGGGCCACGCCACCCGGAGTGTCCTCTTCATCTTTAGTGGCTTTGTTTTCAGGAGTCTCTTCCCCTTCGGGAGCATCTTCTTCACCTTTCTCATCCCCAGAGCCACTCACCACATCCTCGTCATCGGAGGAGACAAGAAACCTACAATCGGTTTCCCGCGCCTTCGCTTCGACTATCTCCCCAGCAAGGTTTAACCCGTGGCCATGGATTTCTTCGAGAGTCTCCCTCCGGGCTTGGCACTTAGCCAATTCATTGCTCCGTCACCCCCGGTCGGAGGCCTCCTTCAACTCAACATGAACGGCCGCGGCTTCCCTTATGTATATGGCAATGGATTTATCGATCGCAGCCTTCGTCTTCTCAGCTTCGGCCTTAGGCTGTACAGCTTCAGAATTAGCCTGTGCAGCTTCAGCCCGGGCTTTAGCCAGCTCGGCCTCCAACACCTCGATTTTCCTGGCCTGAGCCAAACCCTTCGCTTCAACGCTTCGGAGCTGAGCTTCAGCCGAGGCTAGTTGGGCCGTAACAGCTTCCTTTTCGGCGGCAAGTTGATCCATGTTCTTCTTCCACTGATGACAATTAGCCCGAACTCGATCTACCTCGCCTCGGAGTTGCCCAATGATATAAAGCTTTCGTTGCAGCTGAGATATCAAAGTATTAGCCTCCGAAGTAGGGCCGAGAAGGACAAACTTTTTTAAAATCACTGTTACATGCTCATCTAGCTCGGGCTCACTTTTTTGAGCTTTAGCCAATGTTTTTCAGAGATCCTTAAGCTCCTATTCTTTCTGGCGCTACAGAGGAGCCTCAAGGCCTTCTCTTCGTCTGAAACCTTCTTGAGCTCGGCCTCACATTGGCTCAGTTCATCTCTAAACATTGCAACGGCCTATGCATGAAATGGAGACATACCAGTCGAAATAAGACAAAGGAAGAAAAAATTTCAATAGAAAGGGTAAGTCCTTACCCGGGAAAGGAGACGTTGAGCCTCTTAAAAAATGGAGGATGCATCATTAAGGTCGTCAGCATCCTCAATCCCAGCGTAGCAACCCTGAAAAGGATTGTCCTCAACGACCTTATTTGGGTCGGGCATATGCAAAGCGTTAGCTTCCTCAATTCCCCCCTCCCCCTCCCCTAGAATAAGTTGGCTATGAAAGAGAGTGACCTGTTGTCGCGGCCCCGAGCTCTTCACTCAGGGCGTTCTCATTAACATCGGGGGTCCCAGCATTAACCCCCTCCGGTGTAGTTTTTGAAAACGGAGGGACAATCTCGACCTCCGGGGATGCAGGGGCTTTGCCTGTCTCTTCCTTTGGGGCATCCTCTCCACAGGACGAGGTTTCCAGTTAGGAAGGCTTGACGAACTCGACCGGCTTCCTGGTCCGAGTCACCAGCGCTGACTCTTCATCATTATTTTCTTCTCCACCCGCGGAGTCATGGGCCGAGTCTGTGCCCATTTGAGAAAACCTTTTCTGCAGCCTTCGAGTGGAGGTTTTCTTATTTTGGGGGTCTTTGGGTTTCGTGACCCTTTTTCTTTTGTTGTCTTTCTCGGGCTTTGGATTTGAAGGCTTGGTTTTTTCTCCGGGCGGAGCCAGCCTCATCTCGGATGCATCTCCAAGGCCTGCGTAGGCAAGTGTGAGTAAATAAAAACACCGCCAAATGTATGGAAAGTGTTGAAATTATAGAAAGGCACTTACCGTTGTCACACCTCTTTTTTTACACCCGAGAGGGGGATATAAGGAGGTTTTCCAATTAAAGTGACATAATTCGAAACAGAATTATTTTATTTAATTCTTCAGAGTCCCCACTTTGAATAGTTTATTTGGTGTCCCAAGTCACCAGTTTATTTAAAATCCCAAATCGAGGAAATTTCGACTTTACTTGAAAAGTCTGCGAACCAAAAATTCTAAGTAAGGAATTCTGTTAACCCGGGAGAAGGTGTTAGGTATTCCCGGGTTCTATGGTTCTAGCACGGTCGCTTAAACTATTAATAATTGGCCTATTATCTTATTACTACATGTTTTAAACCTATTGTGCATTTTTAACTTTATAACCGCTTTTAATTACTTTATGGAATTATTCTGGAACAAGTTACAATTGTCGTACACCTGTTTGTTTGATACATATCGCGAATCATGTCACGGGAACCGTACCCACGATCCACAACATGTTTAATTTATTATAGTTATTAGAAGTTATGGCCGGGTCACATAAATGTACCCCCGCATTTGGAAATTAGGTATCACAACTACGTCACGGGAACCGTATCCATAGCGATGAGGATTTTGTTATAAACGCGCCTAAAGCAAACTACAAATTTTCAAAATATTTTCTGCACTAAGTTATAATATTAATATGAGAGCCATAGATTAGGTGATTCAATTGTGAATGGCACGCCTCGATTTATTTTTAAAAGATTTGTATTTCACTAAAGCAAAGTAAGGATGATCCTGTTTAAATCTAATTTGAAATTAAGTATAACTACTACGCCACGGGAACCGTACCCGTAGTTGTAATGATTTAATTGAGTGCCTAAAACAAACTACGGTATTCATGAGTTCATTTGTTCAATTCCTAAGTTTTGGATTATGGATTAATTTGAAGAAAGTAGGTACATTGTTGAGTTACTAATTATTCTGAGAAAGCAATGTAGTATGCGGAATTGCAGCTAACACGTCTTAAACAAAATGAATCATATTAGTTATGCTTAATATCAACACTCGTACTGATTATGAATATATTGTCTCTTTCTAGTATCAATTTCTACCGATCTATCTATATCTATCTATATTTATATACTATATTAAAAGCACGAATGCCCTATCGAAATGTTGTTCGCCTTTTATACCCTTCAAAACTTAATTTCACACTACACAAAATAGTAATTTAATAATTTACCTAATAGTTAATACTTTTTTTCCTGTTCTTTTAGGTTTAGGAGACCTTTCTTTCCTCATAATACAAAAACCTACTAAAATTGGAGACTTCTCTTCGTTCCTTTTAGGTTTAGCAGTCGTTTTCTTTTCTCTCATAATTTGGAACCTATTATATTGCAATATCACATGAACTGCAAGACAAATATATAAGTTATGAATTAACGTTGCAAATGTGCATAAGTTGCAGATTGACGGTTTGACGCAACAGGTTAGTAATATTTCATCAAAAATAACGAATTTATAATTTATGTTTAGNGGTTGATTTATTTAGATAGCAGTTCTTTAATTGTGGTTCATAATTTTCTAACACTATTTTTTCCTTTTATGTTGGTGTTTAATCCATATCTATTAATCTGAATTTGAAAAATTTTGTTGCAATGACGGGAACTAGAACAAATGACTCACGATATAAATGTTGAAAAGCAAATAAGGATAGGAGTATTACATTTTCTTTTTCTTATATTTGCTATTGTCAGTATTCATATGAAATAAGATTGACATTCATTCTTCTTATTGGCTCTTCTTTAAGGGGAAGCTTTTATATATTTTTAATATTAAAGTGAGAGATTTTTACTTAATTAAATATTTATTCTAAATATTGAATGTAGTTACATATATTTATATATACTATATTAAAAGCACGAAGGCTCTTAGCGAATGTCGGTCGCCTTTTTTACCCTTTAAAAATAAATTTTATATTGGACAAAATTGTTATTTAAATTAAATTCCTAATATTTAGGACTTTAAAATAACTAAAATTTTATTTATTAATTATTTCCTTATTTAACTATATAAGAAGTTTTCCATTAAATATTTTTCTTACATAAACTCCTTTTAACATGCCTACCCAATCACTTACTGTATCTCTTGGTTCTCCTTTTACTGTATCACAATAAAAATAAGGTCTTTGACCTTCCAAAAATTAGATTGCCCATTCTTTTACTCCAACAGGACTTCGTTTTAAAAGGAAATGAAGTCTTATCTTTTTTAATCAAAAGGTCAATTCTAGGAGAGTTAAAAGTGAAAAATGTAAGATACACTTTAAAATCTTAAATGTTTAGTTCATCTATAATTTAATATATTAACATTTATAATTGTATCTTGTAGAAAATAAAATTTATCCAACATAAAATTATTTTTAAATGAATAATTTAGCTGTTGAATCTAAATATAAATTAAGATTTGCTACAATTTGATGATCACTAAAAATGTAGTAATAAGAAAAAGAACATGAGAAAGGGGCCAACTCTTAGGAAGAAAAACAACAGGAAGAAAAACGAGATTTCTTTTTAAAGAATTACAATATATAACCGTATACGCTTTCAAACCAACAAGTCAATTTTCAAACCAACAAAAACTACCTCATTATATATATATGAACTATAATTAATTTCATATTATAATTGAATTCTTTCCTAATCAATCAATATTTTTTTCTTTATTTATTTCTGTATTACAATATTTAAAAACTACGCTCAATAATTAGACCAAATAACTAAAAAGATAGTTAGAGAGAGAGAGTAGTGGTAGAGAAAAGTTGATAATACTAATGATTCTTTAAGGCGAAATACATAAACGGCCCCTTTAAGTTGACCACAACGGTCAGTTGAACACCTCAACTGAGACTATTTTCAGTTAAACACTTCAAGTGGCTATTAAGTAGGTCAAGTAAACACCTGAGTACAGCAGGCCATATCCGTGAGTTGCACTTGCGGATGACATGGCAAATGAACCAATCAAAAAATGACACGTGTAATTTTGCCATAAGAATTTGACACATATAATTAACAAAAAAATATATTTGAAAAAGAAAAAAAACTTTTCTCCTAAACCAGTTCCTCCTTCCCTAACTCTTCTTCCAAGCTTTCTCAAATCCTTCCCCTTACTCGTTGAAACTAGGACCACCATTTCATCTGCAAGAAATTGGGCAAAGAAAAATTTAGGTTGAACCTTGAAGGTGATGAAGATTAATGGCGAAATCTTGAAACTGAAAACACCAGTAACAACGTTGGACGTAGTAAAAGACTACCTAGGTCATGTTTTACTGGAATCAGAAGCAGTGAAGAAGTTTGGTGTCAGAGCTAAGCCACTGAAACCAGAACAAGAACTGAAGCCAAATAAAATATATTTCCTTGTTGAATTGCCTTTGTTTCCTAAAGAAGAAATTAGTAGAGTTCCAAGAAGAGTGAAATCTGTTGTTCAGATGAGTGCAAAGGATCGGCTTGAGTGTCTCATGTTAACACGAAGATCGGCTTCTAATTTGTCGATTTCGAAGCCGAATAATGGACCGATTTAGTTAAAGATGAAGCTGCCGAGGAGTTTAGTTCAGAAGCTGGTAGAAGAAGGGGAAGTAAAGATGAAGGTATGTGGGTCCACAAAAATAAAGGTTATTTTTTAAACTGAAAAGAAAAAGAAAAGAACACAATTCATGTCCTCACGCGCTCAATTTGTAGTGAGACACAATTGATTTGCCATGTCCGCGCAAAGTGTTTACTTGACCTACTTAATAGCCACTTGAAGTATTTAACTGGAAATAGTCTCAGTTGAGGAGTTCAACTGACCGTTGTGGGCAACTTGGAGGGGCTGTTTATGTATTTCGCCATTCTTTAAACACCAAAATCCAAAAATAAAATAGTGAACGTTGTTTTACTATTTAAAAATAAGAATATGATTGGCCAAAATAATAATTATTGATATTTGAAATTTGGCATGAGCTAGCATTAACAATACGAATCAATAAGAGAATAAAGTATTTTCTTATGTACTAATAATTAAGTCTTTGAATTAACTAATTAGCAAAATAATTCGCTTTAATTCTTTTAGTAACTCATCAAAAATCATTTTTCAAATTGACATAATAGGATACATAAATTATGCCCTTGAGAAGAGAATCGGTAGCGAAAAAAATCAGGTATAATATTAAGAGTCAAATTGATCAAATCGCTATTAATTCATTAATTCAACATTCTTCGCTTTCTTAGCTTTTATTATATAACTCAATTACAAACTTTTAATATAATATTTATATGATTTTTAAAAAGTTTATACTAATTGAACATTGGATACACGCGCAACGCGCGTAACTAAGACTAGTTATACAAATGACTTTCAGCATCAACTCCTTTTGGTAGATCAAATGAGATGTACATATGGGCTTGGTCACGACAACCATAAGAAGAACGGGCCCAATAAGACTTTATGTGGCCGTCTTACATAGGCATCCAGTGTGCCTTATTTACAAGCACACACGAAAATAGACTTGTCTTACTCCCCCAAGCCCAATAGATAAAACTTAAATGTGAAATCAGTGTTGCAGTATTCGGGAGAAATTTAAAAATAGCTAGATTTACAATTGGTTCCAAGTCAATAAAAATTAGTCACCGTTTTGCTGCAATCGAGACCGGTCTAGCATAATATACTGTAGTTCGGTGCACTTGTGTAAGAACTCCAGCATAATATGCTGGAGTTCTTACACAAGTGCACCGAACTACCGTATATTATGCTAGACCGGTCTCGATTGCAACAAAACGGTGGCTATTTTTTATTGACTTGGTAAACGCTAGCTATTTTTGATTGACCAGTCCGAAAACTGGCTATACCGTGCTATTTTTACCAGTATTCCGGATCAACCATACAATTACGCATGAACTGGATCGCTATATTTAAAAAAATCCATTCTAATTTGATCCAAAACATAAAATATTTACATTCAATGAGTACTGTGGAGCAAGTGTCCGGTTCAAATAACAGCAGTTCAGTTTACGACTTAACATTTAATAACCTTGTTATTAAACAAACGTCTAACATATTAAAACAAAAGTCAATAGCATGAATCACAGAATGGACATGTTGTTCATCAAATCGTACATCGTATGCCAAACAATATCGGATTTCATTTATTAATTTGGAATAGGCGAATACAGAGAAGTCATGAAACTTAGTTGGTGTTAGAAGGAAATCACTACCAACCAAATAGAAATTGAAACGGAGAAACAGATGGAATCCGTCACAGTCAACAAGAACAGCAGCAACCCCACAACGATTTTTGACCAAATGAGGTTTCAAAACCAGAAAACTGAAGATAAACGAATGTATTTCCGACTGATCTCTTTTCAAGTTGCTTTCCTTTTGCCTTGTTTCTTTCTTTGCCCCTTTATTTTTTAAAATCTCTCCTATTCTTCTTCGAAATACAGAGGTGAGCGAGAAAGAGGGAAGGGGTCCTCTTCTTCGTTGTTTCAGATGGGGGGGGGG